CTAAACGCGCCTCTTCCTCGTCATGTGGCCGAGCTGCACTCGCCGAGGAGGAGTGGCAGATGGGCGTTCCAGACCTCGCCGTGTTCCGGGAGGGATGGTCCCGTCGGTAACGGTGCGGCCGCAGCTGACCTCGGGTCACAGCGAGGAGGCGGGTCAGGACATGGGGATGGGCTCGCATCACTGGTGGACGCCTCATAAGCGCAAGCCTGTGCAACGGACGCGTGCACAGCGGCGAAACTCGCGCCCGTCACGGATGGAGGGAAGCCGCCTTACAATCAGAGTGTGGTGATGTGTTGCATTGCCGCTGACAGCCCTGGCCAGAGAGACAATGGCGAGGCCGTGTCAGTGACGTCCTGGGAACGCCCAGCCCCACGTTCTCTGTGGCACAGGGGAATCCGGTGTACTGGATCTCGATCGTGAGCAATTTTGGCGCCGTTTAATGTCAATTGTCGAGCAGATAAAGACGGCAGCTGTTGTGACCTCATTTCCACAATCGAAAAGAGCTCGCGCCTCGAAATGCCGGTAAAAGTCGCCGCTGGCCCCGCGCCCGTATATGAATCACTGAACAGTTGCAGGCTACCTGCGCCGCCAGAGATTTCTCCTGCTGCCGAGAAGCGCTGACACGGAACTCATGTCGAAACACTGAAGAAGTGATGACGTCACTAGAGTCCGGTGCGTTACCCCTGACAACGAACCTGAATTTAACGGATGCATTTGGCGCCCAAAACGACGATGAATCGCGACAGAGGTACTCTGTTTTGTAAAAAAAATATATATTTACTGCTTGCGACATTCGCAGCGATAGTGACTTAACTAACTGGCTGCGCGCCTGGAGATTGTATTTTCATGGCTCATTGGTTCGGTCTCATTGAATGACGAACGCTTCCTGAAAACGCGTTCCACTCTTCCGCCTCGGGGCTTTCACCACGCTAGGCATGATTCAAAGCGATCAGACGAATCCAGAGGCCCCAATTATTGATGTGTTTTTGCCTCGCCTATCGATCCGATCGGGGGCCTGTTTTTTGGCGCCAGCCAAGCAGCACTGAATAGCAGTCCACGAGTGCCAGAGCCAACCGAGCAACAGTCAAGGCAACTGGCTAGACTAACCGATCTGTGACCGAGAGCGGCGATGGAGCCGGCCTGGGAGGAATCGGACCGGAGTGGCCGGACCGGACCGGACAGGGCCGGGCAGGACTGACGGCACCGGACCGGGACGTCCGGGCCCCCCAGACCGGAGGCAAGTCTGCCCCCGGCGCAGGGGCCAGAGTGCAAGAGGTGGCGCTGGCTGCGGAACTCTCGCGAGGCGCTCCACCGTGACGGAGGACTGCGTCACGTCGGTAACTTTCCTAAGCTCTCGAGTGGAGCGTGACGGTGAGGAGTGGCGCGCCGCAGGCAGTCACGAGCTGCAGGGTCGTTTGGAGCTGATACGCCTGTCCCACTGTTCCTGGCAGCGCAGCGTCTATTAGAGAGCTCTTCCACCCTCCAAAAAGCAGCCACCTGATGCAAGCGTGCCTCAGGCTAAACGGGGAAATGAATGACCCTCAAGTATGGCGAATACAATCACTGAGTTTCTCTAGAAGCGAAATTCTGCTGCGTTTCCGTATCGTGTTATCAAATGCTAATCGATATGTCAGCGGTTTGGAGGAAGCCGCCATCCACATTTTGAAGCCATCACAAAAGCCCTATGCAATGCATATTTGAGATCGATAACCGGTCTTTCACGTTACACTAGAAAGTGAACCGGTGTCACCCCGCGCATACGATAAGCAAGTTATTTTGATTAAATTTCCAGCATAAAAAGCTGTTTAATGCCGTGAACAGAATGTTTCGCTTTTAGAGTGACTTCAGGTATCCCAGTGCGACAGTTGCCATCAGTGCACTGACAGGGAGCCTGTAAAGGGCAGCTCCTGGCAAGACCAACCAATTTGCCGTCATGTGTTGGGGCAAAGTTGTGGTGCTGCTGATGTAACTGAATGCGTCTCATGCACCAGATGGTAGCTGGGGACGTTTGATTAAAATTATTTGGGAACAAGCCTACTTTGATCGGCTTGTATTTCAACCCTTTATGGCCAAATTCATTTGAAAGCAAAGAGCATTGTAAAGTATGTTTTGACCGCAGAATGGTTTATAGAATCTGTTTTCTCCACCAAGTACATATCTTTAATCTTTTTTAGAGGTGCGGGGCAAGAACATCATTGGAAGAGCCTTTACGGTGAAAAGCTTTCATGGTCTGCTGAACAACCGTCCGTTTACCCGGAAGGTGATGATTTGTATTCTATGTGCTCGGACAGGCCGCATGTAAAACACCCGACGTTATTTGATTCCACCAGCTGTCCCTAACTCAGTAATAGTCATGGTGCACGGAAGTCATAAGTCCCCCCTGCATGTTGCACCTTTCAAGAATCCCCTTCCTGATGGACCGACGTCACCACGCCCTCAGACCGCCGGCGGCTGCTCCTCGGCTCCTCCAGCTCGCCCCTGGCCGGGCGGCTGGGACGACAGCCTCACCCGCACGGCGGACCGCCCCGGCCGGCGGCGGCGGCCAAGGCTCCAGCCTGCGGCCTCGTGCGGGTGGGAATGCGCCGCGTGCTCCGTGGCTCGTCTAACGGCACCCGAGAGGCCGACGGGGCGGCCGGCGGCCGGCGCCGAGGGGAGGCTCCGCTGGTCAGAGGGGTGCAGGAGTAGGGCACCACGGGCAACTTAAAGGTGAGGTAAGGTGGGACTGGCAGAGGCTCGACTAGAGGCTACGGGCTTCCTAGGCAGTTGCTTTGTTCAGTGATGGATTGTGTTGGAATGACGCTAATCTAGGAGGTAATGCGGCCTTCTGTGATAGATGATGAGCCAATAAATATCGCCTGATAAACATGATGTATGAGAAACTCACAGGCACCACTGCATCATCTGACATTCTTGCGTCCCGTGTAAAGCATACGGCCTCTTCAAAGCATGAGCGAATAATACGATTTCAAATGCTTTGAGAGCAGAGGGTGATCCCGTCCGACTTCATCTCAGACTGCATTTCCTCACAGCAGCCTAGCCCACACAGAGACTATATTTTTTCACAGGATGCTAACCCGCAGCGGCGACTACTCCGTCGCAGCACTGCCCCGTCCTCAGTTACAAACGGGAGGAATCGATGCAGAGCAGTTTAATTTTGTTTAAAGATTCGATCCGAACCCTTTGAATGGATGGATTTCTAGGATCAGAGCTCACGTTGAGCAGTGCTTGTGTGAGCCCTGACCCCTACCACCCGATCACGCAATTCCATGTCAACGGCAGCATTTGGTGGTGAAAGCTTAGCGTGCCGCACTGCTCGGCACGGTCCGTCCTACCCTCTGATGTCAACTGACCTTCAGCGCGACCACCGCCACCGGCCGCAGGTCACACCTGTCAAGGGCCAACAGCGAGCGCCCTAAAGCGACTCGAACCCACCCCGCCACGGGTGGGTGGATCGGAAGGCAGACGCTCTAACCACGTGGGCCACTGGGACGGCTTTGACGGACGTGGACGGACGGACAGTTGGCATTACTTGCAACCGACAGAGCTCCAGTAAAAAGGCGCCACTCCTGGAGACCGCCTCCGTCAGCTGAAGGTTAGCGCGTGAATTGGGACCGGCGGCAGCGGCCGGCACGCGCCGCCGAGCAAGTGTCACCGAGCGCCGCGGGCGAGTCCATTACGCCGGACGGGTCCATTCGAGGCGGCCGGTGGCCAGTGGCCGGCGCGGCCCGGTGACGGCGGAAACTGGCAACGTCAATTTCTCATTAGGCGCCGGCTGGCTGCGGCCGGCACAGAAAGCCAGCGAGCCGGCGCGACCGCCGCCTCTCGGCTGCCGCAGATAGCGGTGGCGGAGCGCCGCGCCGCCGCCGCCGCCGCCGACGACGACGACGACGCCGCCATATGCTCGGCGGAGGCTAATGAGGAGATGAGGAGACAACTGGGCAACGCTCCCAGCGGAATGTTTGTACACTGATAAAGGATGCAGGCTGATTTACGGCAAAAGCGCGACGCCAGATGGTCCAGGTTTGTTCTAATTGTGTCGGTATCATGCAGAAGTTTCCGGCTAAATTTACCAGTCCAAACGAAGCCGCACGTAGTCCACCAGGCTTTGGCAGTGTAAGAGATGAGCGATAAGCTAGCATGCGTAGTAGTGTGCATATTCTGAATAGAACACCAGATAATCATAGTTACTTTGCAGAGGTGCCACAAACGAAGACACAACACGAGTGGGTGCCCGCGCGTGCACGCCTCAAGCACCTTCGACGCGGTAAGCCAGTGTTGTCGCGGTTTTGGCGGTCAGTTATCAATGGGACACCTCATCATAGATGCAACAGTCCCGTTCACATCGGATAGGCTGTGAACGGTAGCACTATGAAGGGATATGAAATCCAGACCTTCACGGCACGAGAAAGCGCGATGTGAAAGGGGTTTGACGGTCTTATGGTCGGTGAGGTGGGCTGCTTGTTCCAGGGCTGTTCCAGGGTTGGAGGTAAAGGGAGAAAACGGAGGAACACAATGCTTAAGTATATTGTATATAATAAGTATAAGTATATACCTTGCATACAGTATCTCTCGGGCATTATGGGTTTTACATATTTGTATCTGTGCTTTAATGCCAGCTAGTTCTGAGCGGGAACGCCACAAGTGGCCACTTTATTCTTGGATCCACCAATCGTCGGGCAATGAGAAAAATGAAGCAAAGGGAATGACTATCCTTTACTCACATTACCTCAAGACTGAGGTTGTGTAGGCACTTTGTACGTGAACCCAGCCACAACTGTCTGTATTTCTAGGATGTTTGGTTGATACAGATGAATTCTTGTCACCGGCGAGTAATAGCAAAAATTAACGTTTGGAAGCATTTCGAGAACATTTTTTATATACGAGCCCGGAGCGGGAGCTTTCTAATACCTTGCGAACAATCCCAGTGCCCCTCCCCTCCCACCCTACCACTATCGCCATCCCCAGCAGACCGCCCCGCGACCCCGGCACTCAACACTCACCGCAGAACGGAATGCCGGCCGGCGCCCACGTGCTGTTGCCTTGGCACTCCTTCCTGGCCGGTCCGAGCAGCTCGAAGCCGCGGTCGCACGTGTACGTGGCGACCGTGCCGACTCCGATGGCGTCCGTCGAGAACGTGACCGTGCTGTGCGCCGGCGCTCCCGGAAATCCGCACCCGCAGGCTGAAACGGCGACACGGGGCGCTGTCAGTGGGCGTACAGCCGGCTGGGTGGCTATCGCCAGCGCCTGCGGACCGGGCTGTTGGCTGAAGTTTGTTGCTCATTGGACATGAATTGAAGCGTGAAAGGAGCTTGACGGCATATGAACATTGGTTAGGTGGTGCCTTCAAGTACTAACGCCTCACCATCTGCGCTGGAAAGCGTTGGCAGAAGGGATGGACACTTCTGGATAAGCTTCCCCTCATTATCACACAGAGTTGGGTGGTTGTTAAGTGCCGTGCGAACGTCCACAACACCGGAGAACTGTTGGCTCCGCTTAGCGTGAGCGTGACTACGTTTTGGCACTCCGCAAAACGGGAGCGTTTTTCACGCGACCGCAGGCGGTCCGCACTGTGCACAATAAACACGCAATCCGACCCGAGCGTGGCCAGCGACACGTTGGTCCGTAGCGAGTGACACACATGGTGCGCGTGCATTGTGAACGATTTTCCACGCCGTCACTGCCGTGGTGTGGACCTGAGGCAGCTTGCTGACCGCATTAACGCCATATTACCGACGGTGGCGCCGACAGAGGGTTCACGGCCATTGGCAGTGGTTATGACTTCGACGTTGAAGTGAACACCACTTGGCTAACCCCCACCAAATTGTGCGCAAGCGATACAAATAAGGAGCCGTGCGTGATCGGATTCAACTAGTGGTCCTCCCGTCCTCGGCGGATTTGAAGGAGGCCCTGCCGAGCACTTCTCGTGCAGTGAACAAGCTGGTGCCGGTGAAAGTGGAGCAAAAACCGGACCGGACGTCAGCACCAGCGGGCCACGCGGTTTTTGCCCAGCTCTAGCCTGTTAGCTGTGTGTTCAGAGGCAGGCACCCTAGCGCCAGTATTGCCACAATGCGGCAACTGAAAGTGCAGAAATACGAATAACCTTGCGGTAGGCGTACTTCAGATCAATCATAGATAAGCCCTTACCCTTTGAATAAGTCCCTGGTCAATGCTCTAAAAGTTCGCATTAGCACCATGATATATCCACATGACGTAGGTTTTCAACATATGTTGTCTTAAAGTGTGTGCGGCACGCAGCAAACTTAGAATATATTTATGTCACAAACCGGCACCAGTGCAAGGCATCATCACTTACCTAGGCAAAACAAGGAAAGGGTGCATAGTTTAAGAGCGATATGAATGCAAGTGATCGGCCTCTACGTCCGTTTCAAATAATTTATTATTTATGCATTCAACTTTTTACCAACTATAATGATATGAAAATTCGAAAAAAAACAGCCTAACGTAGACGAGATATTAGCCTGTCGTGTGAAACATGTTATAGCTAGCCTTTTTGAGCTTTTTCTCTCCCCAATATCGTCGTTATCAGTCAACGAAAGGACAACAAATGTCCCATAAGACAATGAGTGCAATGATCACTCTTCCTGTATGGCTTCACATTAACAGATGTTGAGCTAGGTATGATTTTGAAGTGCTTGGCTGTCGCCTTTATTCGGCAAGCAGTGTGGATTTCTTTGCTGTCTTTAGATCACTTCCGACATCAACCATAGTAAGCATAAGTGAACTTGCAGAAAAACAGACAGAGACAGGAAAGGGAAAAGGAAGAGGGGAGAAAGAGAGAGCGAGAGAGAGAACGAGAGAGAGAGGGAGGGAGGGAGAGAGGGAGGGAGGGAGGGAGGGAGGAGGGAAGGAGAGAAGGGAGACGTAGAGATAGAGAAGAGAAAAGCTTTGTCACGCACCACGCTGATGACTCTCGCCGCGGCGCATGACCGTTCTCTTTTCTTCTCATTAGTAGCTCTCCCTCGGGCATCTGGCCTGGTCAGCAGCCGCCTTAGTGCACTTATGGTCGGCTTGGTACTAGCTGATCAAACCTGTTATGCTGTGTGTTTCATGTGCTGGCCCAAGCAAAATATTTCGTCCCTCGATAAATTCGCTCATGTAAATAGCTCAATAAAAGATGACCAAAATATTAACAGAAGGTGATGGCCCTAACTCAATTTAAGCAGCTGCAAACAAATCTACGTTATTTGACTTTTGGTATTCGGTATTAACTGACATAGTTGCGTATCAATGACATGTTCTTTGTGACCATTCCCTTTCGTTCAAGTTATTGTAATATTACAGTCATTGTATACATATGTTGTCTTAAAAGTCATTCTGTCCAAGCTTGCTGATATTCACTTCACGTCCGTCAGCGCGCAGAAGCGTATTTTCAAATCCACTCTTCGCTGAGCATCGGCTCACAGGCGAGGGGTGGTGACGCCGCCCGACCAGTCCGTGGTCATACGGGCGCAGGCGAGCGGTGGTGACGCCGCCCCGACCAGTCCGTGGTCATACGGACGCAGGCGAGCGGTGGTGACGCCGTCCGACCAGTCCGTGGTCATACGGGCGCAGGCGAGCGGTGGTGACGCCGCCCGACCAGTCCGTGGTCATACGGGCGCAGGCGAGCGGTGGTGACGCCGCCCGACCAGTCCGTGGTCATACGGGCGCAGTCGGCAGCGGACACCTGCCGCCGGTGGTCATTAGAGCTGCCGAAAAACTCGGCCGGCGTGCGTGTAGCGCCGCGGCCGGGGTGCGAACGGGCGCCGCGCCGCCGCCGCCGCCGCGCCAGATGACGCCGCGCGCCACCAACGCGGAAACGGCGCGGCGACGCGACAGCTGTGCGCTCGTTCACTGACCCATTGGAGCTGGCTTGCCAGCGGCGGCGGCGGCGGCGGCGGTGGCCCTCTCACGGCGCCGGTGTGAAGCTCGCTACGGCCCGCTGCGGGGAACCGCGCAGACTGGGGCAGCGGTCCCGAGGCGGGGCACGGGACACTCCGGGGTACTCAGGCTCAGCACGGCGCGCTGACGGTGCGAATGGGGCACTTGATGCCGTCAGACGCGGTAGGCGACGCTGTCACTTCACCGCGGCGTCGCGAGCCGAGCGCGGAATACGCCGTCACTGGCAGCGCGGTGTTTTGAAGCGCTGGCAATCGAACCCTTCCTCCGTTCAATCGAAGTGTGCCATCCATCAAAGGCCTCATAGCCGGGGGTGGGCCTCAGACAGTCCCGGACGGCCTCGCCCAGGAGGCGTCGGCCCGCTATGAGGTTACGGGAACTGTAATGGACCCCAGCTGCTGCCACCGCTCGGCCCGAGGAGCCAGCACCGCTACGCCGGTGCGGAGGACTGCACTCCCACGTTCGCATCTGGCGCCGGTGAGGCTTTGGCGGCGGCTCGTTATCGCATCGCCCCGAGGTCGTAGCAAGCCTGCCGAGGACAGCCGGTAGGCGTGGCGTGTCAGGCGCGTGGCCGCGCGGAGGAGCGCGCAGCCGTCCACTCGAACTCGCGTCTCGTGCGCGTGCCTTCCGACTGCGGGACGGGTGGGCCCTCTCGTGCCGGGACGGAGTGCGGCTGCCAGGGAGCTCGATGCGAGGACATCGTTTATATGACGGGGAAAACTGGCCGTGAAGAGGCGTGACACGGATCGATGTCGGGATGTGGGAAAAGGCGATGACGGAGAGTCTCCCGGAGAAGAATGGCGGTCACTGACCGCGCTGACGAGCAGAGGCAGCTGCCGTGGCATATGGTGTCAAGGTGTATGGCTGAGCCCCAGTGGCTGGCTCACACAAAACAAACAGAGTCTCGGGGCGATGACCGAGTGTAGAATGAGTACGGCTTGTTGGCTTCGACGACAAACACATATAAGTGTTTGGTTGCGACTGTAGGATTTCGCTTTAAAAGACGTGATAATTCGGGTTTTCCTCACGACGAAGTTCGGAACCCTTGATTAGCGTGACGCAGATGTCCCAACCGAAATCCTATTGGGGTGTCCAGATTACCTGGCTTACATTTACTTTAATTCACAATTGCCAGAACTTCAGAGTGCATTCGCCTCTGCACGAAACAATGCGACCAGCATGTCGGAGGAGTCGCCAGCGTTTGCAAGGTGCGCAGAACGATTAACGGCCTCTCCTCAGGCCAGAGCAGCCGACGGCTCATGCGTCGGGGTGGAGCGATCGACCGTGTCGAGTGGGAGTGACCGTCCGTCGTCGCCATCGGCTACAGCGAGCGAATTGCTTCGTGCACGGGCTCAGCGACCGACCACAGCCGCTCCAGGCTTGTACGGAGCATGCAATTTTAGACCGCGATGAGGCACCGTCTGTGAGAGCGGTGGTGGAGTTGGAGGAAGCGCATTTCCGCTGACACCATCACAAGGTCAACAGTACTCCGCACCGCCGTGCCGGTATGGCATCAACGAGGGTGGATGCCAACATCAACAAGGGTGGATGCCAACACCAACAAAGGTAGATACCAACGTCAACAAGGGTAGATACCAACATCAACAAGGGTAGATACCAACATCAACAAGGGTAGATACCAACATCAACAAGGGTAAATACCAACATCAACAAGCGTTAATGCCTGCCACTCGTGTGCCGAGGGAGAGTGAACCCAGTGCTAACCCCAGCGCTAAACACCCCACAAGTAAAAACCTCTGACGAAGCCCCCATGTAGACTGAAGTGACACAACTGCTATTTGGCAAGGTTTGCGACGCAGTCCCATCATCCCTTCCGCCGATTGTACAGGAAAAGCAGGCGAACAGAACCCCTGACTGAGGCTGAAGGACGTTCAATGCACTGTCCAATCCACCGTGGGAAGAATTCAGCGTAGAGTCGCGCCCACCTCTAGCTGCTGCGTGTACCCCACCCCCACCCCCCCGTGACCACGCCGCGACGGTGCGGCGTCAACAAGCGTAGATGCCAACATCAACAAGGGTAGATACCAACATCAACAAGCGTAGATGCCGACATCGACAAGCATTAAGGCCGGCCGCTCGTGTGCCGAGGGCGAGTGAGCCCAGTGCTGAGGTCGGACGCCGGGCGCGCAGATGGGCTGGAGGGAGTGGGGTGGTGCGGGCGGAACAGAAGGTCGGGCTCCGGGCCAGGGCATCGACCGATCCCGCACCCACTCGCACCAGGCGTGCATGGCCCAAACAGACATGGCACAAAGCCCGCTTTGCTGAATCGCAGGCTGGCGACTGGTTCAAAGGCAGGAGTAAGCATCATTGGTCCATATTTTGGTATACCTGTGGAGGTGTCATGCCTGTTCTAAGCCTGGTAGGAATGACACTGTGCCTAGATCCTGACTGCTTAAGCCCTTCTCAGTTTGCATCGCTGTCCAGTTTTTGCATCCGCGAAAATGTAGAAAGCGAGCTTACGTTTCTAACCAAGTTTGTTTCACGACTGCGATGGAATACCACAGAGAACCTCACTCTCGGGACAGTTTGTACCCTTTAAAAACCTACCATAAAGAGACAATCTGCACATAAAGAACAAAATTACCTGTGCAGGATAGCTTAATTTCCTTCCGATTCTCATCAACTCTGACAAAATCAGCCGACCGTTACTCCAAAAAAGAGCTAGCCTTTTTGTGGCGACAGGCTCGGTTGTTCTGTCCGCAAATTCAATCCCCAGATGGTCGCGCACCTAAAGCCGAATGAGCGCCACCAGTGTCTCGCAGGCGGCAGCTAATCCGACGCGCATTCGTCGCGTCTCGGCACTCGCACAAACACAACAGACGGCGCTGCCGGCGTGGCCAATCGCAAGAGGAACGAACTCCAGCCGCGGGCCAGGCAACGGTTCGTTGACACGGCCGCGGGCGGCAGCCCCTCAGCTTCGGGGGAGAGGGGCGCCAACCCTGCGGCGGTCCCTCCTGGATCGAGCGGGCGTCGCCAAACAGGCACACCAGGACGGGTGTCACAGCAGCTGAAGTAGCTTGCCTCGCACCAACCGGTCCGGCCCACTCCCAGACTCGGGGAACCGGCCCGCGCCGAGGCTCGTGGAGCGGCCCGTGCCGAGGCTCGGGGGCCGGCCCATGCCGAGGCCCGGGGACCGGCCCGCGCCGAGGCTCGGGGACCGGCCCGCGCCGAGGCTCGGGGACCGGCCCGCGCCGAGGCTCGGGGACCGGCCCGTGCCGAGGCTCGTGGACCGCCCGCGCCGAGACCCGAGGACCGGCCCGCGCCGAGGCTCGGGACCGGCCCCGCCGAGGCCCGGGGATCGCCCGCGCCGAGGCTCGGGGACCGGCCCGCCCGAGACCGGGGAGCGGCCCGCGCCGAGGCTCGGGACGGCCGCGCCCTCCGGCCCGCGTAGCGTTGGCCGAGCCCCGGCGTTGTTTACCGACTGGTGCCAGTCGGCATGTGCCGAGGCAGGCTGGACAAGTAACGACTGCCAGCTAATGACGCCACGCTGGCCCGGCCGGACGGACGCGGGCGCGACCCCGCGCGACCCGCGTCGCGCTCGCTCATGGCCGTTTCTGGTGTCGCGCGCAGCCCGGCTGACCACCTTCGCGCCTTTTCACACCGCCCTCGATCCCAGGCGTGTCGCTAGATAAGCACTGGCGACTGAAAGTGTAGAGTATAAAACCGGTCACCTCAATGGTTTTGAAGAAGTGAGTATTAAAATAACATAATCGAGCGATGGCTCAGGCAAATCTGCAGCATTGCGTAATGAGAAGACTACATCCAAAGAAAAGGGGGTATGATGCCTTGTCTGTTGTGTCACGCATTGTCGTTGCTCGAAGCTATTGCACGACTTATTCTGAAGGGTTCAAATCTTCGAGGTGAAATGAAGCTAGTTCTTATCTTGTGGTCCATAAGTATGAATTGTCGGCACTTTTTACCGACATAAATAAATAACTACGTCAAAACGCATCATATTTTTCGCTTAAAACAGCATGCTCAGGAACTAACAGTTGTTCAAGTTTCATTAACCCGCGTCACGTCACTTAATGTCTCGCACTAACGACAAGGCAGAATGTCGGTACAGATAGACATCCATCTAAAAGAGAATACCATGACAGACAGCCATCAACGGCATGAAATGAGCTGACGTCAAGTTCACAAAAATATGGTGGATTTGATAGTTTCAATCAGCAATCAACGAACTGGGAGGGAGGGAATAAGGGAAACTCGCCAAGTTTCCGAACTAACCTTGAAATCGTTCCAGGTAGCCTCACAGTGGCCCAACATGCAGTAATCGTGCTGCTGGGTACTCAGGGGATGCTACTTCGCAGCTGTTCATCATACCCGAAAGCACGTTGTTCACTTCTAAATGATTTGCCAGGATTTACCGTTTGATGTAGTCCGCTGGTCTATGACAATAACAGGTGCGCGCAGAAGCCACTTTGCTAGTGAACAACGCCGAGCAATTCGCTAACGACGCGGCGATTGTGCAGCAAACAGCTGACAACGTCAACTCTTTGCGGCCCTGAACTGTAGGTCTTTCCAAAGAACGAGTTTTTCGCTACCGCCGTGTTCAACGCTTCAGTTACATTTCAGCAGGCACTAGGTCGTTGTCAGTGCACTGGGGCATCGTGTCAAAACTGGGCCAGCGTGCTGAGCGCCGGTGAACTCACCTAGACCGACCAGCGCGGTCACCAGCGCCGCCTGGACCAGCATGGCTCTGTGCTGGCGCTGCGCGCGCTCCGAGGTCTGCGCTGTGCGCCTCCGGGCTCGACTGGCGTGCGGTGCTCCTGTGCGGCTCCCTCCGTCTGCGCTCACGTGCACGCCGCGCGACGGCCGCCGCTCGAGTGAGGCCAGCGGCGAGGCGAGGCGAGGCGAGGACCGACGCCGCGGCGTCGGCAGAGAGGCCGGCGGAGAGAGCGGCGGCGGCTAGCGGTACGCGGCGTCACGTGGCTCCGACCCGGTACCGTTGGGCCGGCGCGGCCCGGGTCACGTGACGGCCGCCTCCCGGCCAGCAGGTGAGGCCTGGAGGCAGAGTAATTCCTCTGCGCGTACAGTGGCAAGATGAAGGCGGGACGAGGGCGGATGAGGGCAAGGATACTAGAGTAAAAAAGCGGAAGACTGGGCGAAGGCAAGTAGTTTGGAATGCTAGTGGAGTGAAGAAAACAACCAGTTTTTAAAGAAAGAAACAAACGCCTTTAAGTCCTTAAGCGCATGTAACGATTTTCAGTAATGATGTTTGAAGAAGCAAATTTGAAAAAAGTATTTGTAACTTGCACAAATAAAGAGAATCTGGTGTTTGAAAAACGCTACTACCAAACAGCATATAACAAGATATCGACCTTGAATATATCAGGTCGGATGTGCCGCCAGGGCTGATGTCGTGTTCTACCAAATAAACCTGCCGAAGCCAGGTGTTGCAGAACAAGGTGATCAACCACAATGGATGCAGAACAACCCGAATGCTGCTACATCAGCAGGCAGAGTGCGCTGCGCTGATCCAATTACCAGCATTGCTTCCACGTTTGGGAGTGCCGCTACAGGCGCTTTCATGTTTAGAAGCACCATTTCTCTTTGATGGGTTTCTGCGTTAAAGACAAAACTTTGCAGAGTCGTCGTAGTACAAAGGATGCATGCTTGGTGAAAAGAAGAACAGCATATGGAAGTGGTACAAAATAGCATGTCTTCATTAACAAAAGAATCTTTCGGGCGTACCTAATTCTCTTAAGCAGTGATTGAGTGACTGCTTGTAAGCAGAGCGTGGATATGGGGCTTGGGCGTGGTTAGGGACTGAAGGTGGACGAATAAGTGGAACACTACGACATGTGGTAAACATGTAATGCTACATGTGTGCACTGATTGTTGCGTAGCATATGCGACGCCACATCGCATGCACACGCCACGCCGCACACATTGCACACGCCATATGACGTGTGTGAAATGATCATACCTGTACTGATGGTCAATGCTGCTGCTTCCTGAAAATTGATGCGACAGCATGACCTGGGATTGTATCCTCATCCATTGCAGTCCTAATAACTTAGATTAGCGTGCTGCCCCAGTTTGAATAAACGCAGTTAAAAACACGAATATTCTCAGCGTGTTTTTGATCCTGCTTGACCTCCAGCCCCTAAATCATTTTTACTTACCTGAAGGAAACTGCTATAAATCAAGCTATGTTAAAAATGTTGCTGCTGTCTATCACCCTGGCTTATTTTCATGAACTGGCATATGTATTACTCACTACGCGTTGACCTAATACACAATCTGACCAATTTGCGGTGTAGGGTTGCAATAACTTAAGGTTAGTTTTCTTAATAATCGTGGAGCACATTGACCATCGAGTTAATGCATACGCTACTTTCAGGCACTGGTGCTCAGCTTGGTTTGGTAATTAGCACATCGCAGCACTATAAGCATAAAAACATAAGCATACACCGATCACAGCACATTAGACAATAACTTCGATTTGATATGAATTATGACGTAATATGTGACCTTCACTTGTCCTTGGCTTGTTGTGATTGGAATATGTGTTCTGCATCGTATGAACTGCTGCAGTCGTTTGCTGTTTAATCGCCGGAACCTATTCCAAAGACAGTCAAATAAAGAAACAATAGTCGCAGAATCCCGAAGGTAGATAAATATCTCAGCAAGTGCCAGGACGATGGCAAGAAAGATCTTACGTTTATCCTCGCATCTAAAAAAATCCTCGCACTAACAAAGGTACAGGAATCTCTCACGCTGCAATTTCTAAAAGCGCTGTTGGGTGGTTTGTGGTATTTTTTTATGTTTACGTTATCTATTCCCACACCATCTTCAGCTTACGAATAGGTGGGTAGTACTGAAACACACATGCATCTGAAGTGAAAAGTTACTGTTATTTTTGTCAGCCCGATTCTGCCATATGCCATAAGCCATTACCGTTAGACATGATCCTGCTCCTGCCCATCCGATTTTTGGACCTTTTTGGATTTTTGACCCAGTTAGGTCCCTGCCTAAACACGCTTGCGTGGAAAGTGCGACTAACATTGCCCACTTTGAGCACTCGAAGAAGGTTAGAGTCGTTCTACCGCAAAGGAGGGCTTGAGCTAAAATCGAGCCATTAAACAGACTACAGCAGAAGCCAGACGACGTTTTCTCTGTGAGATTTCCTCGCGACTTCACTGCTTTTTTGGCTGAGCGTGATGAGCACGTCAGCAGATGCTGTCCGATGTCAGCGCCAGATCCCGGCTCGGATGCTGCCAAACCAGCTGTCCAGGCGGACTGGTGAGCAGGAGGCACGCAGCTCACATGATGCGGACAACTGTTGCGTCCCACAAAGCACCATCCATCAACCGCTCGGACCAGACAGCGGCGAGGCCACGGCCGCCGCGCAGAACAGATGTCCTGCGCGGAACGGCGCGGACGCATTCCTCCGGGTTTAACGGTGCTGTGCGGGGTTAGTTGGCTGGAGGCACAGAATTCACATGCGAACAGCGCGCTGCGCGTGAACGCCTCTTCGTGCGCCCCGCTATGACGTCATCAGCTGACCTGACCGCTTACACGCAACGTCCTGGTGACAGGATGCACCAGGAAGCCTTGCCAGAGCTTACATTTTTAATGTGTCCAATATTCACCAGTGCGGCGCTTGGCGCGGCGTGAGAAGAGCGAGGCGGTTCGACTAAGAGTCGCCTGTTGTCATGCAGAGGACTCGAAAAGATCAGCTAATGGAGTAACACCTCTGCCAGCCAACTCCAATGGGTTTGACTAACACGTTGGAAGGCCTGCCTGTAGGTAATGGGTAGAGGCCCATCTGATGTGGCGTTTGCATGCTGGTGACCAAAGTAGCTTTACTGAAGTTTGCACTCCATATGGGCCCGGTCAAACTTGGCATTTACAATGGAAGGCATCGATGAATTTGCAAAGCTTCTTTTTATTGTGACAGGGCACTTTCAGGATGTGGATATCTTTGACGCATATTAGTCCTAACAAACAGAGCCATGATTATGACCCGACCAGTCTTAAGGGTGATCAGATTCCGCGACAACGTCTCCCTCAGCTTAGGCCTCAGCGTCTTGCAGTCGAGAGTGGTCTCAAAAGCCTAACACCAGCATAACATCTGCGCTTTCCATGTCGGATACCAGCTTACGTTATGTCGGAGAGCTTTGAGACTTATAAGCTGTAAGCGGGGGGGGGGGGGGAAGGTGAGGAGGGTGATGCGTTAATCACCTTCACATTCAATATACAGTTGGTTTCATATTTTCATCTGCCCTGATTACTCTGGCATCAGTCCAACCCAATATAATCCAATTTCCCTTGAACGGGACGACCCCAGGTCTGCCCACGCAAACGTGACAATTCGCAACAAATCGACCTGTAATCCTCTTGTTGCTACCACACTGGGCTGATGAGAACTGAGATCGGCTTCAACACGCGCCCGGGTGGCCGGTTGGATACCCCTCGCTCGCATGAAGGGTCAATTTAAACCCTCTAATATCTCAGGAGCTAAGAGAGCTAGAGACACTAGATTTTCATGGTGTGCTGGTCTGTGCCTAAACTCACTCAGGTCAAAGTTTGAGATCCCTAGATTATGACCTCCGGTTCAAATAAGGTCAAACAAGGTCAATCTCCAGGTTGGTGTGTCCCAAAGTGTCCCCAGAACCTAGATACCTGTTCTAAGTAAAAGGTCACATGATCATTTAAGTGATCTTATTTGAACTGTCAAAAGTCATGGTGACCAAAATCATACACGACTGCTTTGAGTTTCACATTTGAGAAAGCGACGAAGATCACACCATGCAGTATGCTCCCCAAAAAATGTTGATTTGGGTCATTTTAGGTGAGCGACTTGTTCTGACCTTTCAAAAGTGTGTGGAAGATGCATAATGCAGTTCCTGTTATCAATAAATTCGAAATGAGCACCAGAAACTACCCCATACAGCAAGCCATAGAGAACTAAAAAAGATTGGCTTTGAACTTGGTCTGACCTTCATGACGTACCTTAGGTCAATGAAATTTGTTCGTTCAATTGTTGCGTGGCCTAAAAAAGTATCTCAGAGATGTATGGTCCCGTCTAACACACCGTTGTTGCTTCAGATTGAACAATTTCTTAAAAGCTGGCTTTGCAGAATTCGTAGCCTGACTTTGGCCTGCCGTAGTTCAGCGACCTTACAAGATACGCCTAAAAGTTTAATATCAAACGATCCGCTATTCACTTGTTTACAGCTATGCAAAATTTAGCGCGACTGCGCCGCGCCGTTCGGAAACCATTCTGGAGAAACCTTCGAGAGGAGGTTCAGTTTAACCCCCGCCCCGAGGGCGTGTTAAGTCATGCTTTTCAGTGTTTTCTCAGATGAAAAAATTACATTTCCACGTTAATGAAATGGAGCATGTATAATGTTGATCATACCACAGTAATCAAACAGCTCGTTTGTAAGTGGCTCATAACAAAACGGAGTAACTATAAATGACTGCATTTCTTGCTGCTGAAATCTGCATGGATCTGCCATTAGTGGCTCAAAGTTATGAATTTCTAGAAGCATTGGCATGCAGGAACGGGCAGCCTGGTTTGAAAATTTCATCATTGTCCACGCAAGAAGCACTCGTTTGGCCTAAGTTGGTCGGGTCGGCAGCCATTTGCTTAAACACGGATATGAACGGAACACGGCTGGAGGACATACGTAACTCTGCGGAATAAATAAGTAGTGCGTTGCTACCCAGGCCGGTTTCTGCAGTTCCGTTGCGTCTGGCGGCCAATGTCAGAACAGCTGACCTACTTTCCTGTTGCTGAATATGTGATCTGTAGCAGCATACAACAGGGGCAGATAAAACTCGAATAATATTCGGCAACA